GGGATCTAGAGACCCGACGGTGATTTGGGATATGTTCATTGTGCATTGACCCCACCCCTTAAAATCCAGGATCCGTTTCCCAACATCTTGGAAACACTTAAATGAAGGTCTTTGTAACTATACACAACGGTAGCCTATACAGTCTGCAGACATGATGGACTCTACTGCTCGGTGCGTGTGCAAACAGAAGACGTGTTGAATGAGCTCCTCTGTCAGTGGTTTGTGATGAGTCATACAGTGCTTGGCTTTGACGAGAGGCTGCGATTGGCTAGATGAATAACCAGGAACTTCAAATGGCCAGTGAAAGACTACAACACTTAAACCTGGAACAGAGCACATTTGTTTGCCTTGGAACACCTTCATGGAAGTTTTTCAGTCGTGACAGTTTAGTCGAACTGGGCTGCAACCAACCACATCTCTTCTGTTTTTTTGTTGTGGAAGTTTGTAATGTACATGGGAATTTTTGAAACAGGCACACACACCCACAGCTGAAGCCATTGTAGCAATATGAGGAGCATCCAACAAGTAACTGATGCTGCACCTTTGGGTTATGTCAACAATTCAATGCTTTGTTTTTCTTACTCCTTTTCCCTTCAGTCCACAAGTTTCAGGAATGGTGTTGTATCCTGTCATTTGTGCAACAAAATCTAAGCTTAAGTGCAATTTGACAGATGAACACTGCAGATGTGTAACAGACAAAAGGCAGGACAACATCATGATTAAGGACCGCTATCATGGCTCCCGCTGTATAATTAATCAAAGCATCATCCACTAAAATGGTAACAGTTTCAGTGCACCAACACTCATGAACTCGGAACCTAACTGGAGATGGCACACAGCCTAACCTAGAACAGGACTTGAGGGCCCGCCTACCATTTTGAGTCCCAGATACGATGGTGCAGTGTGGCTTCAAGGTCACCCCTGTTTTTGCCGGAACACTCGGAAAAGCTCTCAGAAAATGAGAAATCAAAGTTAATCACACTGGTTTCAGTCAAAGCACAAGTGCCCCCCCCCCCCCCCCCCCCCCCCCCCCCCCCCCCCCCCCCC